GGGCTGCAGCAACACTGGTGCTTGAGGCTGGCTGTCTCAGGGGGAGGGAAAAGCCACCTGAGTCCAACACCCTCACGCAGCAGCACCCTTCTGCTCCCTGCCCTCTCACAGCCAAGCAGGAGCCGGCCCTGGATGCCCCACACCCGATGGGTGCAGGACTCATGCCCACATCCCCTGTCTCCCCGGTAAGCACTTGTCTACCCCCGTGTTGGGAACCGAGCCCCCAGCTCAGGAGGTGCCCTCTGCTGCTTGCTGGGCCAGGGGCAGAGCTGCCCTACGGCAGGTGGGGAGATGGGGCTCTGTGGGGTCACCCATTGCAATATGGGGCTTGACAGGCATGGGGTGACGGAGGGGGCATGTGGCCGGGGTGCAAGGAGTCACCTGAGTGTTTTCTCCCATAAAAGAAACAGGGTAGAGGGGGGAAATGCCCGACTTGCAGGGCCCCTTTCCTGGCGATGCCGCCCTGGCGCAATGGGGCTGGGGCTGCCCCTGCAGATGGTGGGATGCCCGTGGGGCCAGGGCTGCACGTCATCTTCCCTGGTCCCCTCATGGGTCAGTGTCCAGGCACCAGCCCACCAAAGGGGAAGGTCCGGTCCACAGCGTGCATGGGGCACTGGCCCTCCAACCTCGCACTTCCCTCTGCCTTCTCCTAGCAGCAGAGCACTGTCCCCGACGTCCCTGCTGCCTTCCTCTCCAGAATGGCCCAGCTGAGCCCAGGGCTGGCTCCTGGCTCCAGACCTTCCCAGGAAGTGCCGGTGCCACCGGCAGGCACCCAGCCGGGCCCACTGCTGGTCCCCAAGGCAGAGAAGCTGTCCCCCACATCAACTTGCGGTGAGTCTGGAGCACCCCAAGGAGCTCCATAGGACACTGTGTTTCCTGCAGGGATCTTGGACCAAACGTTGCGGGAACGTTTAACTTTGGCTTCAATCCTAGCTGTTTACATTTATCCAGGGGAGCACGGACGATTTCTTCCTGCAGAGGAAGGGGCTGTCTTCACCTGCCTCCTTCTTCGGGGGCAAAAGCAGAAACAGGAAAAGACAAAAAGGAGCAAAGTGTCAGACTGTGGTTTTGAAAACCCAGAGCTTGGTTTTCAAGTGGGAAGCACCGTGCTTTCGCCGGCAGAAACCAGAGCACTGGCTGGAAACCAGGCTCTAGCGTCATTCTCAGTTTCGATTTGGTGCTGCAGGCCACAGCCTTGCTGCCCTCAGGACTCTCCTGGCAATTTCCACCCCAAGAAATGCCGGGAAATTAAAAATGTCACATCCCAAATGTTCCAGTTTTCCCAGTTGTAAAATAAGTGGGATGTGGGATCAGACAAAGTGATAAGACATGGTTGGACCAGAGCATCCATGTCAGCTGAGCAGGGTGGCTGCCCTGTGGCGCAGGACCCTGGCGTCAGCCCATCATGAGAGGTTGCTGCTGCTGCTGCCTCTGTCCCCAGAGCATCACTTTTCCTTTTCCAGGCAGTGACTGGCCCAAGCCTGGCCAGGCTTCCCCAGGACCCGCTGTGGGGCTGGGCACTGGCACCTCTCTGCACCACCCTGTGTCCCGTCGCGGCAGGCCTGAGTCCAGCAAGGTACAGTAGGATCAAGCACTGCCTTCGCTACAGGGGCTCCATCTCCGCCTGCAACCCTCTTTCATGCTGCCCCCAAACTTCTCCCCCTACCCTTGCTGCAAGGGGGACAGGGCTGTCCCCAGCGCCAGGAGGTGCCTGATGGCACTTGCCCGCAGATGGAGAGCCGCCGCATCACACACATCTCCGCCGAGCAGAAGAGACGCTTCAACATCAAGCTGGGCTTCGACATGCTGCACAGCCTGGTGAGCACGCTGAGCGCCCAGCCCAGCATCAAGGTGAGCGCACACGCAGGGACACAGTGTGTCACCTGGCGATGCTATGTCCCTGCTCTGCCCCCGTGCACGGGGCCTCTGCCGTGCACCCCAGCCTGTGGGGCAGGAGGCACGCCGGGCACATGGAGATCCACGCAGTGCAGCCATGCTGGCGTGGTCTGGGCTCTGCAGCCCGTGGCAGAAGCTGCCAAGGCTGGGCAGTGGGGAACACCACACCTCGCACTGCCAGTCCTGCTGCACAAAGTGCCAGCGCCCCACGCCCTGCCCACCCCAGGGGCTCCCGTCACCACCTCATCCCTGTGGCCCCGCAGGTCAGCAAGGCCACCACCTTGCAGAAGACAGTGGAGTACATCTGCAAGCTGCAGCAGGAGCGGGCGGCCCTGCAGGACGAGGCACAGCGGCTGCGGGAGCAGATCGAGGAGCTCAACAGCTCCATCAAGTAAAGGGGGCATGGCCAGGGGAGGTGGGAGGGAGCCGCTGGGGTAGCACCAGGGAGGCACCAGGACACAGCACCTCCCAGGACCTGGATTTGACTCTGTCCCTCCTCAAACCCTGTTTGAGGCGTGGGCAGGATGATCAAGAGGCAGTGCTATGTGGAACCAGAGTTGGGGCCGTGCCCCACAGCTGCCCTGGGAAGGGGACACCTCCTGCCCCCCCTGCTGAGGGCTGGGGTCCTGCCAGAGCCTCACCCCCCAGGGTGGCCCTGCAGCTCCCAGCCTCCCAAACCCGGACCCAGGGTGCTGCTTGTACCCCACAGCCTGTGCCAGGAGCAGCTGCCAGCCACGGGGGTGCCCATCACACGCCAGCGCTTTGACCAGATGCGCAGCATGTTCGATGAGTATGTCCGCTCCTCCACGCTGCAGAACTGGAAGTTCTGGATCGTATCCTTTGGGGCTGGCAACCAGCTCCTTGCTCTGGACTCCTCCACCAAACACCAGCTCCTCTGGTTAACCCACTCCTCTGGGGTCTCTGGGGTCCCTCCAGCTTGAGAGGCTCTGGGGACCATGGAGAGATGTTTCCCAGCCAAGGGCACACAGCTGGAACGTGCCAAGATGCTGTGGTCAGGAGGAAGCTTCTGTTAGGAGGATGCAGATGGAGCAGGGGTAAATGGCCCGTCCTCTGGGAGAAGGAAAGTCACCAGCAGAGCTGAGCTCATGCCAGGAAGAGCTCCTGGTGACATGCGAACTGGCTCTGAGAGGCAGCAGCCATCAACTAGGGATTAGACACAAAGCTGGGGAAGTGATGGCTTGGCTTTGGTGGCCATGTGTCACACTCTGGAAACCCAGGTGTGCCCATGCCTGGGACACAAGTCTGAGCTCCATGCAGTGGAAAGGATAGAGGGGACCAAGGGCCAGGGGACAGGTGGTCAAAGGGATCAGACACGCTGGGCCCATTAAGCCTGCAGAGACTGTGAGGTTTACAAAATCCCAAACAGCAGAGGGATGGGCAGGCCTTGCTGCCCACAGCCTGACCCAGTGCAGGCAGCCCACGCAAGGCAGAGGCAGCTCCTGACGCAGAGTTTGGGAGCGCCATGGCACTCTTTTGGGAGCGCCATGGGACTCTTTCCACAGGCCATTGAGGATGCTAAAGCTGATACAGGCTCCAGAACATGCTCTTGGTGGAGGTATCTGCTGTGGATCACCACATGCACAAAATCACCAGTCCCCAGCAATGGTCCCTGCAGGCTGTGAACTGTCTGCCTGGGTGACACTCAGGCCCCCAGCACCCCACCAGTACAGGCTGATGGCCAGCGTGCTTCTGTGGTGAGGGAAGCACCCTGCAGGTCTGCTCCATGGCTGGGCAGGGAGGTCTGTCCTGCTGCCCGTAGGAGCTGCTGCCCACACCGGGCAGGTAGGAGACCATGGTGTTGGCAAGGCTGGTCCTTAACTCTTCTGCTCGCATCAGTTCAGCATCATCATCCGGCCCCTCTTCGAGTCTTTCAACGGCATGGTCTCCACAGCCAGCATGGAGAGCCTCACCCAGACTTCTCTCGCCTGGCTGGACCAGCACTGCTCCCTCCCCGTGCTTCGGCCAAGTAGGTGGCCCTGTGCCTGTCTGCAGCGCCCTGAAGAGGCTGGGCTGGCCCGCTGGCAGGGACTGGTAGAAAAGCGGAGGCGACAGGGATGGGGGCATCCCAGGAGGCAGTGGGGCTGGTGCTGTTCCACACTTCTGCTGCAAGGAAGGGAAGCACCCACGGGACATCCTGGGGCTGTGTGCTCAGTGCTTTCCTGGGCTCCTTTCACACTCATGCTCCAGCTGAGCTGCCTGCTGCCACCCTAACCTACGAGCCTGTGTTCTGGCTGAGCAGGGCTCAGCCCTCCCCAAAGCCCCACAGGGTGGGATTCCCTTCATCCTTTCTGCCGGGGGCTGTGGCAGGGAAGCTGTTGTTTGGCTCCAGGGGCTGGAGGAAGGATGAGAAGCTCCATCTCCCCCAGGATGGGTTAACCCACAAAAAACCTTCCAGCCCCCACGGCACTGGGGGGGCAGGTGACATGTCCCGTCTCTCCGCAGCCGTCCTGAGCTCCCTCCGGCAGCTGAGCATCTCCACCTCCATCCTGAGCG